AAAATAGGTTTCTGGTTATTTTGAACTGTTGCTGATGAAAGGAACTTGTAAATATAATTGGCAAAGCTTGGTGTCACAAACAGTCTCTCAAACTCCCAAAACTCCACTCTGACAGGCGTAGACAGTCTAATCTCTCTCTCTCTCATCTATATAGCCACACAGGCTGAACTCTTTGTCTTATTCACGCAGAATAGACTCAAAACTCATATTCACACAGACTAAACTGTTTGTCTTATTCACACAGAATAGACTCAAAAACTCCCATAGTCACACAGACTATGCTCTCTCTTCAAACTTCACACACAGAATCACCTCATAGACATCTCTCCTCCCACACTCTCCTTACAGTACTGTAGTCAAACTAAACATTGAAAGAAACACGCACACCAAAACATGAAATCACTATAGGCACGCTTTGCCTTTCATGGCTTCACTGCATGGACTTTTTCTTTCAATTAACATTCATTCAATAAACATTCATGGTGACCCCTGGCCCTAGGGATGCCCTGGCCTATTGGAACTTTCTGCCAAATGACATCAGGGCCCTGCGGGATCTGATGCAATTCCACAGGGCCTGTAAGGCAGAGATGTTCCGCTGGGCTTTTGGTTGAGGGCAGCAGAGGATTCCTTATTGGCTGGCACCCTTCCTCTCGCCCCCCCCCCTTTGTTCTGAACTCCCCCCTGCCCAGAAAATTGGCCAGTAGTCCAGAATTGGGATAAAAAAATATTATAGGACATCATCTTGGATCTTTTATTCTGAATCTGAATTTTTATTAAGTTGTACATTGAATTTTAATGTTTTGTATATTTTATGGCATTATGCCCCTTAGTACATCGCCCGGAGCCTGGCGTAACCTGGGACAGGTTGATTAATAAATTGAAAAAATAATACCAACAACAACAATCATCATATAATCAGGGGTCATTTCGTAGAATAAGAGGTGCAGGAGCTCATTAGCATAACTCATTGACATAACTCATTAGCATATGCCACACCCCCTGACCTCACCGGAAGTGTGTCAGAAGGCAAC